TGAAACTGATAATTGGATTTTCGGTGTTTTAAAATGAAGTTCTTATTTCCATTTTCGTATAATTAACTGAGTAGACGTCACAATGCAGATGAATTTCGCATAGCCTTCCCTCTCGAAATGTTTTTACCTTCACCCTGAACTACAGTTTCCAGCTCGCATGGGTCTCAACACCTTAACCACTACGCCAGACCTTCACGAGTGCTCTTGGGCCACAGGGAGGATGTGAATTTAAGGAAGTGACAAGTATTTTCCCATATTACATTCTGTGGTGTTATTATCGATAAAGAAAAGTTGTATTTTCCCTAGTGATCGACTTAGTTACTTATTTTTCGTTTTACATGCTGCTTTTCGAGACTACCAGTTAATCATATATATATATATATATGCTTCATCGATAATCCCACGACATAATGTGATAGGGGAAAATACATGGCCTTCCTTGAAATTCGCATGTTCCCTGTGACCCAAGGGATTTCGTGGAAATGTGGCATAGTGGCTAACGTGTCTAGACTATACGCTGCACTTTTATTGTTCGAGTCCCGCTGGAAGTGTAGATAAGACCTAGCAGAGGTCGAAACTGGAGTCTACTCCTGCCTGGATGAGAATACCTTATGGGAAAGCAAGGCTATGTGAAATTCAATGGTAGCGTAAGGTATATTCACATCACTGTGCGAAAGTTCTACTGATAGTCCTCTTAATATATTAAGCGAAATTGTGTGAATACATGGTAAACATATATTGCCTTATTTGCTGCATTTACTCTCACCATCTTGATTACTGCCCATTCAAACTTAGCTCCATTTGTACTGAGCATATGAAGACCAAATTGAATAAATTAACCGTAGATGTTGTGGCCTCTTTTTAGGACCTTGTATATAAGTGTTTTGATCTCGATTTCTCAACTTTGTTGTGTTGTCAGATCGACTTGGAAGAACACACCCTGTTCAAAGATCTCTGCCAAGGTTGTTCTTATAATTACCACCTTCAGTCTGTTGCCAGACATTGCCGTGAACATAGTCAATATAGTATGCAAACACTAAGCTAAATTCATTTAACACTCTTATATATTTATTTTCCATAAATGCTTGCTTCCTACAGAGGTTTGGAGACGGCGTCGAAGCAGTGTAAAGTGAGTCATAACAGTGCCGATACAAATACATTATTCAGATTGGAATGCCCAGATCACACTGAACTGATGCAAAAGACACCTGTACAGAGTTTGGAAGTTACATTCTTGCACTTAAACGACAATCAGGCTCATTCTCAAACGGTGCCGGCAGTGAACGAACCCGAAGAGGTAAAAGATGTCATTTCAGCCACAAATCGTCCCTTCATCTCTGAACTGGATCAATCCACCGAAGCCATCATTCTAGCGAGTGATGAAAGCAGCCGGTCAGAAGACAAGGCCAGCCTTGAGCCTGATTCCTATCCTCAATCGAGTGATAGTAAATTTGACAGAGACTCAGCTAAACCTGTTCAAACTGGCGAATTTGATCCAACTGAAATGTATTCGCCTGTCAGCTCCGAGATAGAGGTGAAAAGCAGAGATCACATGGCCTCAATCCGTCCTAGATTAGCATATTTGGAGAAACTTCGAGAATGTTGGTCGGAAGCCTTGTCATTTTCACTGAAAACGAAAGTGCAGAGACCTATGTAAGTCTAAGGATGCTATGGACAATCTGGCAGATATTTAAAAAAAATCTATAATAAGTTTCTGAGACTAGCAGTAATTCTAGAATAATAACTTTGATTGTCTAGATCACTTAAGCTGATTTAAATACTGATATGTGACTTTACCCACTGTCAATTAATAGGCTTTAGGAGGCCATTGCATTTCACGTTGTCTTATCTCCAAAGAGGCTATCTCAGCCCGCTTGGAGTGGACAGCATTTTCGGCCTTGTCTGGGTCTCATCAACACCCTCGACAGAATTCGATACAGGCTCGTTAGGCCTACTCATATGATTGGGCACAAACCCAACTATTGATCTCAAAATCACCTTAAGTGAACTATAGTGACTAAACGAAGGTATGAAGACCAAAATTGTGTGGTCGCAGTCTCCTTTCGCTGTATAGAAGTTGTTTGACGTTGTTTTCGCAACTTGGCCATATTGGTAGAAAGACTTTGAGGAACGCACCTAGTCCGGAGTCCATTGTATGT